CTGCCTGAGGTGGGAGGAGTCCAGCCGTGTTGTGTTGGGCACTGACAGGAGAGTCTTTACCCTCCTGGCTCTGTTCTGCCCTGTCAGCTGCCAGCGTGCGCGAGCTGACGCCTCTGTTCCCATCTGGTTGTGGGCACAAGAGCGGATCCAAGGGGGGAGGGCGGTGTAGTGACATGTGCCAAAACCAGCTCGTGTTTGCTGCAAGAACAGAATAGGAGCAGCTTAGTCTGTTGTGAACCTGTAGCCCGTTCGGATGCAGAGCCATCCCCTCGGCTCATCGCTCCAAGTGCCTTTTCGGCAAAGGGAAAAAGATACTCTTTGGAGTTTTACTCCAGTGATGGGTTTTGCTGAATCCTGAGGTGGCAGGTTTGTCATTCTGTGTTGGTGAAGTGTCTTCATGCTCATCCTCCTGACCTGGTGATGGATTTTAAAGATTTCTCTCTTTTTCTGCAGAGTTCAAATCCTATCCCCAAAGTTTTTACATAGGCTGTACTGAGATTTTTATTTCAATTTTTTGTGATGCTGTTTCTGCTCTCAGTCTGGACGAGCCATTTTCTATACGGTTACAGAAGCAAAAAAGCATTTTAGAGCTCTTGTATCTGCAGAAATTTACAATTTCACTCCACAGCTCCCTGAAACAGTGGGAAGTTTGTTTGTTGCCCTCTCTGTCTAGAACACCAAAAGCTTTACCCTTGGGGGCTGCAGGTACCGCACAATACGCAGTGACAGGGATGTCCGGGAGCAGGCTGGGGGAGTGGTACAAGATGTTGTGGTTCATGGTGCTGATCCGTTGGGATAGCACATGGAGACAGAGGAAAAGAAAAATATTTGGACTATCTGACTCTTGCTTTCATTTCCCCTTCTGTTCCGTAGATCTGATCCGGAAGGTGCAGGCCAAGGTGGCCCTGCATGGGGTCAAGTTAGTCATCCCTGGGCTAGAAAGGGTGGCGGGTGCTGCGGAGCCCTCACCCGCGCAGAAGGGCCTTCAGCACATCCTCGCCGAGATCTGCCACCTGGAACTGAATGGGAACCTCCATTCCGAGCTGGAGCAGATCGTGACGCGGGAGAAGATGCACTTCCAGGATGACCCTCTTCTCAACGGGTTGCTGGATGCGGCAGAGTTGCAGACTTGCCTGGGGGTGGTGCTGGAGAACATGACCAGTCACCGCATGAAGGTCGTGGAGGTTAGCTGGCAGCCCGGGATGGGCCTGCGGCTGGTGATCTGGGCCTTCCAGATACCTGGTTGCATGCTTGTGCTGTTCCAGGTAGAATTCTGGATGTTGTTCATATTTCAGCTTGGCTTCCCCTCTTCCTTCTCCCAGGCTCTCGCAGGAAGCGGACGTCTCTTCTCCCGTGTCAGAAGCATCCTGAACACTCAGCCCCTGCTGCAGGTGGACTACATTGCCACCGACCGCGTCCTGGAGACGCTGTCGGCTAATGAAATGGAGCTGCAAGATGCTGGAGTTGCCATTAGCCAGTGGGATCCATCTGGCCCTCCCTCTGGAAATCTGACCAACGCCGACCTGGTGGTATACAACTGCTCAGCCAGTGCTGTAGGGAACGCCGCGGAAACTCTCTCCAACTTGGCAGCTGCTGTGAAAGAGGGAGGATTTGTCCTGCTTCACACGCTCCTCAGAGGAGAAACTCTGGCAGAAACTGTCGGTTTCCTTGTAAGTCCGGATCTCCAGCAGAAACACAGCTGCTTCCTGAGCCAGGTAAGCCTCCTGGCAGGACAGACACCTTGGGGGTGTCTGGAGTCTGCTGCTGCAGGCGCTCTTGTGCGGAGCGTGGGGTGGGCAGCACTTACGTCCCTTTCCCTTGAGGCCCTCTGTAGAGTAACACTCCCTCTGGAGAGGAGTCGTGAACTCCACAGACCGGGTCGGGAGAGTGCACCGAGATGAGTGAGCAGAGCCGTCCTCAGTGCATTGGAAACTATTCCTTGTCATTTCCGGATCTATAATCCATATGAAAATACTGGCCAGGACGATTCAGGCTCCGAGGAGACCTCATTGCAGCTTTCCAGTATCTGAAGGGGCCTACAAGGGTGCTGGGAGAGGACTTTTTACAAGGGCCTGTAGTGAGAGGACAAGGGGTAATGGGTATAAATTGAAATCAGGGAGGTTTAGATTAGAGATCAGGAAGAAATTCTTCACAGAGAGGGTGGTGAGGCACTGGGACAGGTTGCCCAGAGAAGCTGTGGATGCCCCCTCCCTGGATGTCTTCAAGGCCAGGCTGGATGTGGCTTTGAGCAACCTGGTCTAGTGCAAGGTGTCCCTGCCCATGGCAGGGGGTTGGAACTGGATGATCTTTAAGGTCCCTTCCAACCCAAACCATTCTATGATTCCTTTACAGCCAAATAGTGTGGGTGGGTGCAGCTTTGTCACTGTATGATCCCAAAGTGCTTTAGTATCAGAATATCTCTCTTGGTATCGCTGCTGGGAGTGAGATGTGACAAACCATTCACCTCCCAGAAAGGGAAGGCTTTTCTCTTGTCCGTGTTTTTGCCCCTCCCCACATGCTGATCCCGTGAGGTACAGCAGAATGATGAGCCCTCGGAAGTGGAGAGGGGGTTGGGAAGCCGCCCCCCTGCAGAACGTTCACCTCGTCACCCGTCCTTTAGAACAAGGAGGGAGCAGCACCTCTGGCAGCTTAACTTGTTAATAACTCTGGAGTGTGGTGGTTGGGTGTGGGATCTTGCAGTGATGTGGATTCTAGCCCTGCAAAAATTTCCCAAGGAGATTTGAAAAGGAAGGGCGAGTTCTTCATCTTGGCATCCTACCCAAAAAACACAGGGATAAAAAAATGACTCTGAGGTGCCACTGAAGCTGATGATGTAAAACCTTGTTCTGTCGTGTCAGTAGCATGGTTTCCCCCTTGGGTAGGAGATGTGGAGTTGGAAGCTTAAGATGATTCTACGCAGGCAAGAGTGGGCGAGACTTACTACGGTGTTGTGTTTTTCGGGACAGGGACGCTGTCCCCAGTCCTCGGCGTAGGGGGTCACCGTCATGGTAGAAAACTTTGGCTGTTCCGTGTTGGCATATGAAGAGCAGCCGGATGCTTTTCTGAGAGCCTGCATCACCTTCGTTTCCCTCGGCTTCCTGGGATGTGCCACACGCGTGTTGTCACTCTCTCTTGATTTTCTGAAACCTGTTTCAGTGTGACTGGCATGTGCAGCTCCCTCCCTGAGGTGGCTGCTGCGTCTCCCCGCCCCCGGCAGAAGGGTTTTCACGGTTCCTCTGTCCCACTTCACTTTGTTGCGGATGGGGCCTGTGTGGCACAGACCCCTGACACCGAGACTCGGGTTTTCTGTGTCGGAGTGTGTATGCTGTGTTGGTTTGGGGAGCTCTGCCTGCCTCACTGCTGGGGTTAAACTGGAGGCATTGAAATACCCTTGGGATGGGCACTGCTCTGCCTTTTGCACACCAGGAGTGTGGAAAGACTAGTTCCCTAACCAGGGCTTCGTGATGCTTGTAGGACTGCTGCTGAGGGTGTTCTGGGAAAGGAGGAGTAGTCCAGACACGGATAAAGTCCCGTTCCATCACTCAAATACGTGTTTGTACTGAGATGATACCGAGCAGACAGCGAGGCTTCGAGCCAGAGCAGGGAGGAGGCGGACAGTGCCTTCTCTGGGACACCCTTGAGGAGTCTCCGTGTGAAGATGTGACTTTAATTGACTTTTGATTTCCCTGTTAATTGTTGTTTTACCTGATTTGACAGGCACAGTGGGAGGGCTTATTCAGCAAAGCTGCGCTGAGCCTGGTTGCCGTGAAGAAATCGTTCTTTGGCTCAGCTCTTTTCCTGTGTCGCCGACCAGCCCCTGCTAAAACACCCGTCTTCCTGCCAGTAGATGAGCCCAATTATAAGTGGGTCGAATCCTTGAAGGTGAGAACTCCTGTGTCTGACTCTCCAAATCATTGTGCTTTCTCAGTGAGATACTCAGGGGTGTTAGAAGCAGTGTGTGTGTGTCCAGTCGCTTTTCCTGGAATAGAAGTTATTCATCTCCTCCTTACGGATACGAGGGCTACTTCCTTTCTGTGGTTCCTAGTAAAACAGTTTGGGGTTTGTCCTGCAGGAGGTCCTGGCTGACCCGTCGGAGCAGCCTGTCTGGTTGACTGCCACCAGTTGTGGGAACTCGGGAATTTTGGGAATGGTGAACTGCCTCCGCCTTGAAGCAGAAGGCCACAGGATCAGGTATGTAAGCCTGCCCTTGTGTCACCGTAGGAGAGGAGATATTTGGTGTTACCTTCTTTTCAGGCTGGTAGCAAAACCAACAACACGGCAACTCTTGTCCTCTAGGTGTGTGTTTGTTTCCAACTTGAACCCTTCATCAGCGGTCCCACCCACGGGTCCCTCTTCCCTGGAGATGCAGAAGATTGTTGAGAGGGACCTGGTGATGAACGTGTATCGTGATGGAGAGTGGGGCTCCTTCAGGCATCTCCCCATGCAGCAAGGTAACTGCTTCCAGCACTGAGATGGCTTGCAGGGCCTTGAGTCTGAACAGGCTTTGCGTGGAAAATGAGTAGCTATTATTCCTACAATTATTTTTCATTATTACTGATTTTTAAAGGATAACTTGGAGTTCAGGTCAGAGTGAACAGTAGCATGCTCTGTCCCCAGAAGGAGGGATGAGCTATTTTAGGGTATGGGTGGTATTGCAGGGTAAGAAAGGGCTTTCTGGAGAGTAAACGAAGGCGAAGGTAGCAATTGCACAAGGAATTTACTCGCTCTGGAAAATGTGTGCCTGTGCTAATGTGTGTAAAGCTCTTACTGTTCCTTCTGCAGCACAACCTCAGGAGTTGACAGAATACGCCTACGTGAATGTGTTGACTCGTGGAGATCTCTCATCTCTTCATTGGATTGTCTCCCCCCTTCAACACTTCCGTGCAACTAATCCCAACGTTCAACTCTGCAAAGTCTATTACGCATCTCTCAACTTCCGGGACATCATGCTGGCCACAGGAAAGCTTTCTCCAGATGCTATCCCTGGTGAGTTACAGTTACACCAGAAAACCTATTTCTGTATTCCTGTTGTAGAACTTACTAGATCTCCTGGCTGTTAGGGACGCGCTGGCTGCAGTGCGTATGGGTTTGGTTCAGCCGGAAGGCAGTACTCGTGAGAAGGAAGCGCAGCCCCCGGCAGGACTGTACACCCAGACTCCCAGGTTCTACTGCCAGTTGCATCCCCTCTTTCCGTACGGCAGTCACTCCTCGGTGTGAGGAAGCATCCCCAGCCCCGCTGCGTCGATAACGCGTGTGAAGTGAAACAGTTTGATGGGGGCTCCAGGGGCGGGAAAGATCCACAACAAGGTGGGAACATCGAAGTTCCGTGCTGCCATGCTACTGGACACGTGTTGCTTTCGGGGGAGAAAAATGCCAGGGGAAGCAGCTCCTGGCTGCGAAATGGAGCTGATAATCCAGGGAGCTAAAACGAACCTAAGGCCTGTTGAATGGTTTTAAAGCTCTGTTGAAAGGAGAGGGGGAAGAGCATGTAAAAGTGCATTTGGAGATTCTTATGGGTGATGTCACATGGGCTGAGATTCCCCTCATGTCTGAGATTAGTCTCTGCCTAAAATGGGTGTTTGCAAAAATTAAGCTTTCGCTGTGAAGCAGGTTTTGCTGTGGTCGTCCTTGTTAGTCTGCGTTGCCCTCTTCCAAAGAGGAACAAAACTGCCTGTGAAACAGGATGTTTCGATGAAAACTGGAAATTAAAGCAGTGTCGTCAAGGGTGAAGAGTGAGATTTAATGAGAGCAAGTCTGTTGCTGCTGCTCTCGTAGTGACAAAGAACTTGGTGACTTAGGAACTGTGTACGTAGTAGACAGATCCCGACGCTTCTTCCGTCTGTGGGGTTCCAGCGTCCGGGCCTGCTGGTGCAGCACATTCTCGACCAAGGGATTTAGCAGGGAACTGCCTTTGTGAGACGCTGGTGTTCTTTCAGGTAACTGGGCTTTGCAGCAGTGCATGCTGGGCATGGAGTTCTCGGGCCGGGACCCGGCCGGAAGAAGGGTGATGGGATTGCTGCCGGCAAAGGGGCTGGCTACTGTGGTAGACTGTGACAAGAGGTTCCTGTGGGAGGTGCCCAAAAACTGGTAAGTCAACTTCTCTTCTGATTTGCATCTGTGGTTAAGATTTGCTTTCACGCCTGAGGCTGAGCCCTCACAGACCCAGGACAACCCCTCTCTGGGAAATAACAGCAGGGCTGTGGTCTCTGAGCAGCTGCAGGATGGGGCGTCGATTCACTGAGTGCTCGTTTCCGTGCAGCAGCTTGCACGAGGTGCTCGACTGTCCCTTGGCTCCGCAGCTCCCCGTGCTCCAGTGTGCGCTGGGATTTCGGTGCTGGTTACGTTACAGGCTCGTTACTGAAACACTTCTGCAGCAGGATGACCCTCTCGGCTGTGCCTGGCAGCTGTGGAAGCCTGCGCTGTGACTGAGAACCATTTGTGCTTTTTGGTTAATCCCCAGCAGTTTAACCTTTCTTCCACTGCAGAAAAGCAGATTTTATCAGGAGAATCCAGTAGTCTTTTCCAAGGCTAAAGGTATCTCCTCCTACTTTGCTTCTTAGGACCCTGGAGGAAGCAGCGTCGGTGCCTGTGGTTTACGCCACTGCTTATTACGCTTTGGTGGTTCGCGGTGGTGTGAAGAAGGGTGAGAGTGTCCTTATTCACTCCGGCTCCGGCGGCGTGGGCCAAGCAGCCATCGCCATTGCCCTGAGCATGGGCTGCCGGGTCTTTGCTACTGTCGGTGAGTGCTGAGGGCCCAGCGTTACGGGGTGAACAAGAAGTATGTCACTTACGGGGAGAGGAAGTGTGTCCGTGTGTGCACACACATAGGTATCTGTACATAAATACCTATTTTCATACGTACACTTCCTCCCCCCAAACGATCTCCTGTGACACTGATCTAGTTTCCTCGCTGGGAACAGGGTGTGTGGTAAATACAGCTCCTGACTGCGCTTAAACTCCCACAGTAGGCAGGTTTAGCTACCTCTGCGCACTAGGTAATCCGAAGTAGAGAAGATGATCAAGGCTGCTGCTTTTAAATCCAGTAGTGGGGTCAGAGAATGTCCATTGTCAGGCTTGGTCTCGCCCTGGGCCTTGCTGTAGCTCGGACGTGAGCGGTAACAACCAGACAGCCTTTGTCCTAAGGTTTGAGACCTCGAGAGCTCTGAAGCAGATACTTGGTGGCTGCTCAGCCTTAGTCCTTGGGAAAAGGTGTGCAGGTGAAAACGGGCCGTTTCATCATAAAACGGCACGTAAGAGTACTGACATCATCCATCCTGCCTTCTGTTTCCAGGCTCCACCGAGAAACGCGAGTATCTCCAAGCAAGATTCCCAGAGCTGGATGCGAATAGCTTTGCCAGCTCCCGAAGTACTGCCTTTGAGCAGCATGTACTGCGAGCTACTGACGGGAAGGGTGAGTTCCAGGAACGCTTTTCCTTCTTTGTCAGCTCTGCCACGCTGTGCAGTTGCACTTTCTAAAGACAAAAGGAGTCGCTAGGAGACGGGGTGAGGCTCTCAGCAGAGCTGAGGTTGCTAAATAGTTGCTTCTCCTGTCATTGCAGGTGTTGACCTCGTGTTGAATTCCTTGGCGGAAGAGAAGCTCCAAGCCAGTTTGCGTTGTCTTGCTCGACACGGGCGCTTCTTGGAAATAGGCAAATTTGATCTGTCTAGCAACAGTCAGCTTGGTAAGATGGGGCATGGGGAAATCCGGGTGCAAGCGATGATGGCAGCCCCGCCTGTACGCTGAAAACAGGCTGATCTTCACATTTAGATAAGCTTTGAGCTGGAAAACATGTTTCACTTTGGTCACTAGCCACGTCTGTACTCTTCTCAACAAACATCTTCTCGGGGGAAGCACAGCACTCAGCAACTTTCGAGAAGCCTGCAGGAGACATGCAAAATAATCACCTTCCTCACAGATTTCTTTCAAACCCGTGTAGGGCGTGTTGTCCCCAGAGCCTCTCGACAGGGAGGTGGTAAGGAGCAGAGCTCGTTTCGCATGGCCTGGTCTGCCTCGCTGCCGCTTAGCTTATGGGTTTCACAGAGCTCTTGGACTTGACTTCCAAGCTTTTTGGGTTGTAACACACCAGTCTGTGCTAGACGAGTGCGCTGTAAATCTTGGCAAGGGAAGTTCATAGCTACACAAGCTGCAGCTTGGCCCTCTGTCTGGGCAAACTAACTGTTTTTAATGTGAACGTAATTAGAATTTTTCAGAGAACCTTGTTTTGTTGTCTCACTAGAGATCCACACCCTTCGGAATAACGTATGATAGTTCCAGGTTGGAAGGGACCTGCAACCATCACTTAGTCCAACTGCCTGACCACTTCAGGGCTGACTGAAAATTAAAGCGTAGTGTTTAAGGGTGTGTTCCAAATGCCTTCTGAACGCTGATGGGCATGGTACATCGAGCACCTCCCTAGGAAGTCCATCCCAGTGTTTGTCCACCTTTTCGGTGAAGGTAGATTTCCTGTTCTCTAGTCTGAACCTCCCCTGATGCAGCCTTGAGCCATTTCCATGTGTCCTCTCACCAGATCCCAGGGAGAAGAGCTCAGCACCTCCCTCCCCGCATCCCTTTCTCAGGAAGCTGCAGAGAGCCATGAGGCCACCCCTCAGCCTCCTTTTCTCCAAACTAGACAAACCCAGCATCTTCAGTCACTCCCCACAGGACATGACCACCAGTCCCTCCTCCAGAGGCACTCCAGAACCTTCACATGCCTCTTAAATGAAGAGGCCAGTGTTGCGCTCGGGGCGAGGCCACACCGACGCCAAACGCAGTGGGACCGTCCCCTCTCCTGCCCGGCCAGTCGGGCTGTGGGTGATCCCCCTGGCTCTGGGGCACAGGGAGGGATGTCGACCGGCATCCCAGAGCTTGTGCTGCAGGGCACCTCTCCGGCCACTCCTTGCCCAGTTTGTACTGGCGCTGGCGATACTCAGTCTCAGGGGCAGAATCTGGCATTTGTTCTTGCTAAATTCCATGTCGTCGATGCCCAGCGTTCCAGTCTATCCCTCTGCAAGGCCTCCTCTCCCTCGAGAGTCACCAGCACCTCCCAGTTTGTCATGGCAGAGGGGTGAGATCAACCCGATGTCCCTTGGATGGGGAAACAGATTGAGGTGTTCAGTGTGACGTGTCTCGCAGCACCTGCTCCATGTGGTCATTCTCAGCAGACCGTCCTTGGCCTTTCACACTGTCTTCTTTCTGATTCTACTTAAACTTCAAAATATCATGGAAATTTCAAAAGCACCGTGGAAAACTTCCTCTGATGAGGCATTTTCTGTGAGGAAGGACAGGATGTACGTGGGGTTGTAGCTCCTCTGCGGCTAAGTCAGGTGTCGCCAGACACAAAATGCCCTTTTTCGTTTCAGACTGCCCGTGTTATAGTTTGTCCTCTTCACTCACTTAAGTTGTGTGTCAAGCTTCTGTTAAACTGGCCTGCATGTAGGAGAGTGACCTAATTAATACGGCGTTCGGAGAGCATGTGTGAGTGTGGAAAACGTAGAATTCTAGCAACTAATGGCTGCTTTACTCCTCAGTCCCACGCCACTGACCTGCGCAGGAAGGTTTCCCAGGCAGAAGAGACTGTTCTGAAATGTCAGCAGCATCAGGTCATAACCAAGTTGCTTTTCCTAGGAATGTCCCTCTTCCTCAAGAACGTGGCCTTTCATGGGATCCTGCTGGATGCAATCTTTGAGGAGGGAAACCAAGAGTGGGAAGTAGTATCGGAGTTGTTGAAGAAGGGCATAAAGGATGGTGTGGTGAAGCCCCTGAGGAGTACAGTCTTCAAGAAGGAAGAGGTAGAAGCTGCCTTCAGGTTCATGGCACAAGGAAAGCACATTGGCAAAGTTATGATCCAGGTAATGAGATAATGACGCGGGTTCTCGGGTGCCTCGGCCATCCGCTGTAGGTGCCTGCGCGGGGTGTTCCGATCCAGTCCAGGCTGAAGCTGTGTAGCTACAGGTCTCTGAAGGGTCTTTTCCCACCAGAAAGATTCTGTGATTTGCAGGCGCTTGGGGATACGGGGCCGTGGTGCTCTGAGCAGAGTGGGGTTAAGGGTGGGACGTGATCTTCACGGCCTTTCCAACCTAAAGGGTTCTGTGAGCTGGGCCAGCACAGGTTCTTGGTTTCGCTGCTGACACGAGCGAGTGTAGCTGGGGAGTCTGTCACCGGTCCCGCGGGGTTCCTGCCCTGCGCAGGGCAGGGAGAGATCCGAAACGCGCGGTGGATCCCATCATAACTGCTTTTCTTTCCTCCTTTTTTCTTGGGTGGGGGGGAAGGTTCAAGAAGAGGAGAAGGAACATCCTTTAAGAAGGTCTGAACCAGTTAAACTCTCTGCCATCTCCCGAACCTCCTGTCCACCTGCCAAGTCTTACATCATCACGGGGGGCCTGGGCGGATTTGGGCTTGAGTTGGCACAGTGGCTGGTGGAGAGGGGAGCACAGAAGCTTATCCTGACGTCTCGTTCTGGCATACGAACAGGTAAGCAAAAACTGTAAATGAACAGGGAACGTGACTGCCTCTAACAGACCTCACTTTGTAGTTTCTCTCCATTTTTAAGTGTCCTCAGCAAATAATAATGTCTTGATCTCTTTTATTTCCTCTCATGTATGTATTTTCTCGCTTCCAACAAGCTGTTGGCCCCTTTATTCTAAAGGAGGAAGAATCTTTAATGTCACCTCTTCTCCAGCTGCTTCTTTCCTCTTTTTTTTTGCTTCCTAATTATATCAACCCATTTCCTCCCTTCCCCAGGATTTTTTTCTGCAGCCTCGCTTTTACCTTTACCCTCTCTACAAGGTCTGTATCCAGCTGCCTCGCTGACTTGTCCCCTGGCTGTGGCACGGTGGATCACATGCCACGAGGAGAGACCTGTCAACTCCTTGCTAAAGCTTCTGTGCCCCACGTTACACGTGGGGCTGCTTCTGCTCCTCCAGATAGATCACCTGGGGACATGTGTCCCGCTACCTGATAACATCAGCAGGTGTTCTCGCTCGGTTTTGGGCAGTTTGACCACAGTCGCGGCACTGGGATTTCTGGCAGGGGTAGTCTTCAGTGTTTCCTCATGCAGATTCCGTCCTGACAAAACCTCTCCCTCTGCAGAGCTCTGCTTTCTGCTGGCAGTTCAACGGCACCCTTTGTGCGAACACGTAGATCGAACACTACTCCAGTTCTGGATGTGCTACTGCGATCTTGCCTCACGCTAATCTACCCCTTCTTTCTGGTCTCGCTACCCAAATTCTTGTTCCTTTTCCTCCACTCTTGTACTTTTTCTCCCTCCTCTTCCCTGGCCCCACGTTCTCCCAACCCTGTTCTCCACTTCGATCAATTTGGAATGTTTCTGAAACTCAAGTGATTTCTGTCTTTGTCCAGTTTTCCTCTTGTAGCTGAATCGGGGGTTATTTAGCTCTTCAGTCCCTCTCTAGTCAGAAGAATGTAAAGAGCGGGTTAACCAACGCCTTACGGTTCGGATGCTTCATCCCAGGCACTGTTCACCTTTGGTTTTGTAGGCTACCAGGCTAAACGTGTTAGAGAGTGGAAGGCACTGGGAATCGACGTGTTGGTATCTACCCGTGATGTTGGAACACTGGAAGGAACAGAGCTGCTGATAGAAGAAGCTTTGCGGCTTGGCCCCGTTGGAGGCATCTTTAATTTGGCTGTGGTAAGTGACAAAACGGCGTAGGACTTGCCAGAGGCGGCAGTCAGGCTCCCTAGAGTTGTAGGTGACGTTGGTGTTTCAAAGGGCACTTCACTCTGGCCTTGCCTGACCCTTAAAGGCTTATGGTCTGGCCCCTTGGCCTGGGAAGCGCCAGTGTTCGGCCAGTGAGCTCCATTCTGGGAGAAGACGAGTGTCGTGCCAGGCCCCTGGGGACCAGAACAATCCCGTAGACCTGGGCAGGTGAGGGCTGCCGTGTTGGCCTTGTCTCGTGTCAGGATGTTCAGGGTATGTCCGAAGTGACAAACCTGCGCTGCGGAGTGATGGCCTCATATCGAAAACCCCGAGACAAATGGAAACGGAGAAACTGAAGATACTGAAACTGCACCTTCTGTGTTTTTTTCTTCTCCTTTTCTCTCCCCGCCCCACCCCCCAGGTCCTTAGAGATGGCATGATTGAAAATCAGACCCCAGAATTATTCTGGGAGGTCAACAAGCCCAAGTACTGCGGCACTCTGCATTTGGATTGGTAAGTGTCGGCAGAAGGGCCGAGCTGAACTGTGTCTGTGGGCGCAGAGCTGACCGAGCTCGGCCGTTTCGCTCTTGCCTGGTGCGGGAGCGCCCGCCGAGCGGGTGGTTCTGATGGGCTTTCTCCCCCCTTCTCCACTCCAAGGGTGACGCGTAAAAAGTGTCCAGACTTGGACTATTTTGTGGTGTTCTCCTCTGTGAGCTGTGGAAGAGGAAATGCTGGGCAGAGTAATTACGGCTTCGCCAATTCTACCATGGAGCGTATCTGCGAGCAGCGACATCACGATGGACTCCCAGGTAAGGGACTGCGCTCCTTGCACAGAATAATCCGTCCCACCAAACATCCAGAGCAGCACCAGCTCGCCAGGAACGTGCTTGTCTGGAAGGATAGTGAAGGGTGAAGGCTGGTTCCTCCCGTTGCTGTTAGCCCGAGTCGTCCGTGTGTGCACAAACACTGACGTTGAACAGTACGGAGGGATGCAGGCCTTCGCCTCGCTGGTTTTCACTTCCCTTTGGTTGCTGCTGTGTGCTGTAGCTCCTTGCCTAGTGTCTTCTCCCTTCTGATCTCTCCTCCAGGCCTGGCAATCCAGTGGGGAGCCATTGGTGATGTGGGTATTCTACTGAAGACAATGGGAAACAAAGAGGTGGTGGTGGGGGGAACCATTCCCCAGCAAATCAGCTCGTGCCTGGAGGTGCTCGATATCTTCCTGAACCAACCTCACCCTGTCATGTCCAGTTTTGTCCTGGCAGAGAAAGTCTCTGTGAAAGCTGACGGAGGCAGCCAGCGGGATCTTGTAGAAGCTGTCGCTCACATCCTGGGTAGGTGCTCTGGGCCGGGCGGTGCTGGGCAGTGTTCCCCTCTGTGCTTCTGGAGAGCAGTGCTGCTGCTGTAGGTGCTCTGTTCGGCATCTCCTCCTGACCACAGGTGCTGGGGGGTGTTGTAGGGCTGTTTGTTTCTTTTCCTTTGTGCTGCTCCTTCTCTCCAGTGATCCATACAGGTTTAAATTGAAAGCGGGGAGGTTTAGATTAGGTATCAGGAAGAAGTTCTTCACGGAGAGGGTGGTGAGGCACGGGGACAGGTTGCCCAGAGATGCTGTGGATGCCCCATCCCTGGATGTCTTCAAGGCCAGGCTGGATGTGGCTTTGAGCAGCCTGGTCTGGTGCAAGGTGTCCCTGCCCGTGGCAGGGGGGGTGGGACTAGATGATCTTTAAGGTCCCTTCCAACCCAAACCATTCTATGATTCTATGATTTGTTTCTCCGGGGGAGCCTTTCTCTCGGTGTGTTCACACACGTGCACGTCCCTCAGTACCTTCGTTCAGAGTGGACAAGAACAATCCTGTGCCTTTCTCCACATGGAGAATGAGCAGCGACAGCCCCCAGCAGCAGAGCTCTGGCACAGGATGTCACAGGGCAGATACAGACTAACGTGCTGTACTGTCCCAGCTTTCACGTGTTCAGCTGGGGGTGCCCCATGCTGTAAGAAGCAGCTTTTCTGTACTCAGTGGTAGTATGTCCTGCTCCCAGCAGTGTCTGTCGTCCGACGTGAACACGGGGTGACCTCAGCTTACCTGTGGGTTACGTGAAGCGCCACGTGCTGCTGCCTGTTTAGAACCTGCTTCCTTCTGCCACTGTATTCCCTTTCCAGGAAGAGGGGGCAGTCTCTGTCACCTCCTCTGTGTCCCACTGCAGCTGTCTCTCTTGCAGACAGAAGTGGGTACTGATCCTTTGTTTTCTACCAGAGGGGAACTGGTCAATTAAGAGTCTCCAGAGTATTACCCAAGGAATTGTGTGCGGTTACTGTGACGGCAGATCTGACCTCTGAGGATGTGGCTTTCATAGAAAAGTGGCTGGGAAATTGTACCAGCTGTAGGGTTAGTGGGAAGGAGAGAGTGTGTGAAGAAATCCAAGGGAGAAGCTAGTGAGCTGATGGTGGGGAGGCTGGCGGCATGGGGCAGCAAGAGGTGGAGGAGGGGAGGAAGGGCTGTAGGTGCATGTGTTGTTGTGAGAAGCCTTTTACAGGTAAGGAAGGGGTGAGAGACTTGAACAGTGAAAATTGAAGGGGAAGGGGTGGTGGAGGCTGGAGGAGTCACCTGCTCCTCTCATGTTGCAGGCAGCCGTCTTCGACACGGGTTTCATCTTGTGCTGTAGTTGAGGATTAGTTGCCTGAGGTGTAGGACTGCAGTATCAGTTAGAGCCTCTGGCATGCGGAATTCCTCTGGCTGACTGCTCGGAACTTGGTCAGAGCCGAAGTGAGGACACTCACAGCTATTGAGCTGGCGCTGATGTATCTGTCATAAATCTGTGTGCGTTCAACACGTGCTCGAAAAACCAGGGCCTGTATACCAGGTGTGGGTTGTAGAAGAGGTGACTTGGGAAAGCTTTGGCTGATCCCCTGTAGCTGCAGTTCATTCAGGTCTTGGGTGAGGGGAAAGGAAGCTGAGAAGGCTGCCTAGAGCCAAAGAGCAACTGGCCTCCCCTGAGCGTGCTCTTTCTCCTCAGGCGTCCGTGACGTGAGCAGTCTGAATGCTGAGAGTTCCCTGGCAGACCTGGGCTTGGATTCCCTGATGGGTGTGGAGGTGCGCCAGACCCTGGAGAGAGACTACGACATCGTTATGACCATGAGAGAAATCCGACTCCTGACGATCAACAAACTGCGGGAACTCTCCGCCAAGTCGGGGACAGCAGAGGGTAGGGTGTCTGCATGGGTCAGGCCCGTCGGTTCCGGGGGCTGAGTATAAGAGGGTGAAAGCCGCTTTCTTGCCGGGCTGGTGACTTTCTGTGTGAGTGGTCTCCTGCGGCTGTGCGGGATGTAATCCAGGACCGTTACCTGTCTGAGGAACACACGGCGTCAAGCCTTGCTTAGTGTGAGCTGACAGCATGTGCCGTTGCTGCAGGGCAGCTGGCAACAGGCACATCCCTGTGTCCATGCCCTGGTGACCTGGTGAGCCGGTGGGCTATTCCAGAGCACCCTGGGATTCTGCGTTAGGACTACGGCTATGGGACTGAGACTGATCCTGAGTCTGACTGTTTTTCTGGTGTGTTTTTCCCCCAAAGAGCTGAAGCCATCCCAACAGATGAAGACAGGGCTGGGCGAGCCTCCAAAACTAGATTTGAACAACTTGCTGGTTAACCCAGAGGGGCCAACGATCACCCGTCTCAATGATGTTCAGAGCACGGAGCGCCCGCTTTTCCTTGTCCACCCCATTGAAGGATCCATTGCCGTTTTCTACACTCTTGCCTCCAGGCTTCACATGCCCTGCTACGGTCTCCAGTGCACAAAAGGTACCTCCGTTCTTCAGCATCTTGAGTTCGTAAAGACAAGATTCTGAGTTTTAGTTGCCTTAGAGATTGGTTTCTAGACTCTGACTGGGAGGATCAAGCACCAGTCCCTGCAGTCTGCACAGTGTCAGACGCCCCCAGGTAACGAGAAGCACTAGGTTAGACTGAAGAGCTGGCGCCCAGGAAGTGGAAGAATTGGACGTTGTCCCTGAGTCCTTGCCAGCAGATGAGCGTGCAGGAGAAAAGGCTTGCGGTTCTCTTTGTCTTGGGAAAGCAGGAACATTGTCGTTCCTTGTCCAGAATGTAAGTTGGTAACCAGAGTTTAGAAACTGACCTTCAGAATAACCTGGATGTTGCCAACGGGGCTGTTTCTGAGCTCAGGAAAATGTAATTGTCCTCTGCCGGTGTCTTTCCAGTCTGTTTCTAACTCTTCCGTGTTCCAGCTGCTCCCTTGGACAGCATCCAGAGCCTGGCAGCCTATTACATCGACTGCATGAAGCAGGTCCAGCCCGAAGGACCGTACCGCATCGCTGGCTACTCCTTCGGTGCCTGTGTAGCCTTCGAGATGTGCTCCCAGCTGCAGGCACAGCAGAACGCTGCCCACGCGCTCAACAGCCTGTTCCTCTTCGATGGCTCCCATTCCTTCGTGGCAGCATACACCCAGGTAAGGGGGGAAAAGTTTTCTGGCTGGGGACCGTGCTGTGTCGTCGGCGCTCGTGCTCTGGGAGCTTGCCATCCTACACAGGAGCGTGGGAAAGCTGCCAGGCTTCGCTGGGCGGGGGGAGGCTGGGAGGCGGGTGCTGAAGGGTGAAAGCATCTGGGACATGGCCTTGAACTGGCAAGGTGCTACGGTAGATCAGAATATCAGTAGGTTTTCCGGGGGTCCCTGGAGCCTGCGAGACAGGACCCTCGTGGGGCTCCTAGGAAACCTTGCTTAAGGCTTCCTCTCCATTTGCATTGTACTTGCAGAGGACGAACTGCTGCTCTCTAACCTGCCCTCGGGGCATCGTCCCCACCCCAAGCCTCAGTCTTTTTCTTTTTCTTTTTTCCTCAATCTTTTTTCTTTTCCCCAGTTCAAGCCCCTCGTGCTGTAGGTGTTTCTGTCTAACCTTCAAGATCGGGCGCATCCCTCGCGCTCACGTTTCGTTCTTCCCCTGCAGAGCTACCGAGCCAAGCTGACGCAGGGCAACGAGGCCGCGTTGGAGACGGAAGCGCTGTGTGCCTTTGTGCAGCAGTTCACAGGCATCGAGTACAATAAGGTGACACTTCTCTCTTCTTTACCTCTCACGTTGCACAAGAGGGGTGTGGGGTTTGTTACTAAGCGGGGACAGATCCTCACCTCTTGAGACTAATGAGGGGAAAATACTATTTCCAGCTGCTGGAGATCCTTCTGCCCCTGAAGGATCTGGAGGCTCGTGTGAGCGCTGCTGCAGACCTGATCACTCAGACTCATACCACCATAAACCGTGACGCGCTCAGCTTTGCTGCTGCTTCCTTCTACCATAAGCTGAAGGCTGCTGACAAGTACATACCCGAGTCGAAGTATCATGGGAATGTGACGCTGATGCGGGCCAAGTCTCACAATGAATATGAAGAAGGTCTGGGTGGAGACTACAGGCTCTCGGAGGTCAGTCTGGTGGCGGCTGAGGTGCTCCTGGTGGTTGGGGACCAAAAGAAAAGCATGGAAAATGATCCTTGCTGAGGGAGAAGGGACAAAACCAACCTAAAAGAAAGGATCATTCTGCAGCTGTCGTGCTCTGACAAGAACTGAAAGTCCCCAAAGGCAAATGAGCTGGTTGGTTCTGGGTATTTTCTCAGGGCAGTGAGGGCCAAGAGGAGGTGTAGCCTCTGTATTAGGGGAGCGTTTCCCACAGCTCACTCTTGGCAGGTCTCTAGACAGCCCTGAGATGATAAAGATGTTGAGAGTAACTTGGCAGAAGTAAATTCTCATCTCCTCCTGTCACTGTAGACCCCCAAAGCTCGTCCAGGTCACAAGGCCAGGCTTGGGAAGAGCAAGAGTCGGCCTTCTGGCGGTACAGCCGTTCTCCTCAGCAACCCTTTGTGGGCCGCTTGGATGGCAGCCTGTGGGTTTCCTGTGGGCCTAAAAACCTGAGCGTGTTGTCCTGTCCAGATAAGGTCGCTGTCTTCAGCCCCTGCTCAGGTTGTGAAAATTAACCCCCTGCTAACTAAAACCCGCCCACATGAAGGGGTGAAGTGTCTTACACTGTGGTGCCGGTCCCAGGGAAACGAAAGCCTTTCTCAGAACCTCCTGCCTGCTTCTGGCCTCTCCTATCCCTTCAGGCATCTGAGCTCCAGGCTAACTCTGTGTTATGAGTTGCTAATGACCTTAAGGGAGGACTCATGGTGGCGGGAGAGAGATTAAGTGGAGAGGAGGGTTATTTGGTTTTCTGAAGGGCTTGAAAGTAGCTACTTCGTGGTTCGTTCTTTGACGTTGTGCACAAGTTACTCTGTTGGTATCAGGCTGGTTGGCCTCCTGCCCGGCGTATGTGCGAGCGGGTCACCTGCCAGGCTGTTGCGCTTCAAAATGTGTCTTCCAAACAGAGCCCTGCAGCTGGTCTGTGAAATTATGTCCAACTTGGGCTGTTTCCAGCCGAGTCTGACAGGGTGCTGAGGGGCTGACAAACCCGCAGCAGCTGGTTGTCAGCCCCGAGTGTGAAGTTCTCCTTGTCTGTGTCTGCGCAGGTGTGCGATGGGAAGGTGTCTGTCCATGTTATTGAAGGGGATCACCGCACCTTACTGGAGGGAGATGGCGTTGAATCGATCATTGGCATCATCCACAGCTCGCTGGCAGAGCCGCGTGTCAGTGTCAGAGAGGGTTAACTTCCGCTTCTTCCTGTCCGCGGTGAAGAAAATGCCAACGACGTTCCTTGTTATGACAGACCCTGAGGAACTCTTCCTGTCCACCATCTCATCTGCTCTGCTGCCAGACCTGGGAAGCCCAGCCGAACTGATCGGTCTCTCTCTCTCTCCAGCTTACCTTTTCCTTTCCAAACTGTTAGGGGTCTCCCTCCTCCTTCTCTTCCTGTGCTTCATTTTCCCCCAGTCCGTGTTACTCCAGTGCTGTGACTTGGTCACTGCGCTGCTGCCAGGGTTCCCCACCGATGGCTGTTTCCTGCACCCTTGGCAGCGTGAAAAACAAATGTAGGAGTAGATTGCTTGTGCTCTGTATTGTTTTGTCTTAACAGTATTCCAAAGGGTATGTGGTAGCACTTGTTGACCAGGCCCAGTGAGCAGGGAGAGGAGCTGCAGCTGATTTCGGAGATACCTTTCGTCTGTGAAGAATCTGTCTGTAGTCGGTCAAAGAGAATTACATTAAGGCTTTTGTAACTATATTTTTTTTAATTTGATATATTCTAAGTATTTATTGTGTCAAACCAGAGACTTCTTACTTGGTTTTAATTTATCGTGGGTTAGAGGAGAACAGAAACATCCCTTTCTGGAGGGGAGGGCTTATTCTGTGAGGGGAGGTTGCCCATTTGTTAAACCAAGGTGCATCTTTGGAACAGTCTGGTTTCTGTTGGTCGGTTCTTGTTTTCTTCTTCCTTTCTCCCACTGCCCTGTCCCCTTCGGAAAGGTAGAAGGGGGAGGGTTCCTGCCGTTATCCGCTTTTTTGAGGGGGAGTGGGACACGGGGTGGGTGGTTGGACAGCCTTAACGCAGGTGTGAGACAACGGGCAGAGCTGTCCCTGGGCAGGAACTTCCGTTCGTGCACGGCTCCGCGGTTTCAGGACCTCGGTAAAGCACTGGGACTGCTGCTTTACCTTTCTCCCTCCCACCTCCAGTCTCGCCACCCAACCCGACGTTTGGAACGGGGAGGGGACACACAATCCCTCAGCAGGAGGGGAGCAAGCCCTCCTCCCCCTGCTGCCCGTAAGCAGAGCTCAGGCAGCCACACGGCACCGACCCCGAGCCCCTCCACGCTTCACTGGGCACGGGGCTGGCTTAGGCCTTTCTTCAGCTTCCTGTCAGTAAGGGGACTGGAGACCCCACAGGAGTTAGCTGAGTGATCAGGCTGATGCTGTGGTGTTGCAATACGGTACCTTCTTAAAGGAAACTGCCTAAGATTCAGTTAAACAATTTCTTGCCTTTGCTGTGCTGGATCTGGCCTTCCCGAAATCAGTAAATCCCTGCTACGCTTATGATACAGAGGAGACCTGGGTAGTAACAAAGCACCGGCTAGGAGGAGCTGTCGTGCCTCTCAGCACTGCCCTGAAACCCCGGTTCTCTCCATCCTCATCCCCAGTCCAGTGTCCTGTTGGTAAGGAGCATTCCGGTGACCGGAAGGGGTGGCTCTTCCCTGCAGGTTCTGGCCTAGTGTCTTGTTTATACCACCCTCTGTTGACAGTGGCTGGGTGAACTGGTTTTAATTTTATAAAGTATTTCTTTTGGGAAATCTGAAATAAAACCAATGTGTCAGCCTGAACCATTTCCAACGTTACTCTTGTTCTCGGTTTGTTTTTTCTTCCCACTCCCCCCTTCCCCCCCGATCCTTTTTGGTCTGAGAAGTGTCTTTTTCTCTTTGGCTTTCCTAGTATTAAACAGAATTGATCACTGGTTGGCTTTTTGTCTTACTCTCTACCACCATTTCTTACTCCTGTTTCACCTGGAATCGCTCATTTCTTGGTATAAAGCAAAAACTGCTGCTGGCATATCTGATTTGGAGTCTGTAGAAATAACAATAATAAAGAACACTTATTACTCTGGAGCATGGCTGCTTGTCGCCATGATTTTTGTACCTTAGATACAGCCCAACCACCCACCCGCAAGATGGAAGTGGAAACTTCAAATTCTAATTCTGGCTCTGTTGTGGCAGTTTTGGACGAGCCGTTAACGCGACTGCCTCAGTTTCCCCGTCTGTAAAACGGGACCAGTAGCATCTACCTCGAGGACGGTGAGTGTGTCAGGCAGGCGAGGGGTGTAAACGCCGTTAGGGCTGACGGCTGGGTGTTAGGTGGTGACGGAAGGAGGGAAGCGGGCAGGGGGAGAGGGTGAGGGGTCCTACGGCAGCGAGGAATCCCGTAGGAAGAGTGGCCGTGTGCCATACTGCGGGACACGCGCATCCTGGCGTGGGATGCTACGTAACACACCAGCTGTGGCCGGTTGGCTGGCCTTAAATTTAACTCCTGGCAGTTGGGGGAGCCTGAGGAGAGAAGGAATCCTACTTGTCTCGGTTGTACGGATAACCTGGAAGGAAAAGGAAAGGAGTGATGAAACTTTTAAGGGTTTAATCAGGTATAAGAGTGTTTAATGAGTCTGCAGGGGCTGCGTGGAGGGAGGGAGGGATGATGCTGTCCCAGCAGGAGCGGGACAGGTTCTCCGTGTACGCGTAAACGGACGTGGTCTCAGCGAAGCCAAGCCTGGAGCTACGGGTTTAGTTGAAGTCCCTCAAAAATTCCTTGTAGCCACTCAGCTCCGATGCTCTTGTGGCTGTTGCAATGCAGACGGCTGGTTTGCCTTTGGGTTTGGGTTTCTCCCCGTAACCGTCCCCGCGCTGCTGCCCTGCGCCGCGTTCGTAACTGAGCGTTAGGTGAAAGCCTTGCCGCGCGGGTGCTGCCTGGCCTGGCTCGGTCCGTCCGCGACCGAGGTAGGAGAACAACGTGGTGATGCAAAACCCAGCGGTGCGGTTGCTCGTCCTGAGACGGGCTGAAGCACAGCCCTTCACATCAGCCCTTCTCTGGGGCAAGACAGTGGCACCTGCCCTTGGCAGCAGCCCGCTCGCCGGCTCTGCACCGCGCTGCTCTGAGGACCGAAACCACAGCTGGCTATCATTACCCTAATAGGACAAGGGGTAATGGGTATAAATTGAAATCAGGGAGGTTTAGATTAGATATCAGGAAGAAATTCTTCACAGAGAGGGTGGGGAGGCACTGGGACAGGTTGCCCAGAGAAGCTGTGGATGCCCCATCCCTGGAAGTGTCCAAGGCCAGGCTGGATGAGGCTTGGAGCAACCTGGGCTATGGAAGGTGTCCCTGCCCATGGCAGGGGGGTTGGAACTGGATGGTCTTTAAGGTCCCTTCCAACCCAAACCAGTCTGTGATTCTATGATTCTAAGAGCATACAGCACTGTCGCCGTGACTCGTCACTGCTGAAGCGGTTGTTTGTCCCACCGCCTTCCCGAGGGGAAAGAAACGCGTCTACAGCTAAAACTGGGCGAGGGGCACGCGGGCTAACCACGCAGGGGTAAGGGAGCACCGCGACGAGGCATTTGCCTCTCCCGCCAAGGCCCGGTGCCCCTCAGGCCGGGGACAGCTCGGCAGCAGGCTGGGGGCGAAGAGAGAACAGGACCCGGGGAGTGGCTGCGTGGAGGAGGGCCGGGGAGGCCGCGTGGTGAATAGAATCATAGAATCGCTGGGTTGGAAAAGACCTTAGAGATCATCCAGTCCAACCGTATCTGTCCACCACTAAACCATATCTCTCAGCACCTCATCCACCCGTC